ATAAACTTTGGAGGCAGCAAACTTTCATCTGTATGTTTGCTTGGCTGTAGACTCCAGACTTGGGTGTTTGAGCTAGAAGTAGCTCGGAGATCTGATCTGGGGGGCAGGTGGGAGTCTCTCCAGACATCTGTGGGCCATATGGATATTCCAGTTCTGCACAGAGTGAATGGCTCACGGTGGCTTTAGGCATCTCACGTGATGTCCTTGCGCTTCAATAAGTCTAGCTGGAGTTCCTGGCTGAAAAGTAGTTGCTGTCTGCTCAAAGATGTCTTGGCTTAATAGTTTCTAGGAAGGAAATGGGATATGCTCAAACATACGTCAACCCTGCTGTGCAGAACCTTGATGGTTTATAGAAAACTTCCTTGTGCATTGTGTTTCCTGTATGGTAGTTATATATAACCCAGTGTAAGCAAAAAACCCAAACACAAAGCTTCTTCATAGAGTGTGTGTTGATATAGGTATATCTGTCAATAAAAGAGGTAGTCTGCTTTGGAGCTGAGCAAAGATGAATGACTTGATCTTTCCTGAATGTAAAAGAAATGCTAATTTATCTAGGTTTTTCATGGTTTATAATGAAGATAGAGCTAGATGCTGGAGTAAGCAAAACATAGTTATCACTGTTACTATGGCACCTAAGACAGTGTATGCTGCCTACTTTGAGAAATTACATGGCCCTGAAGTAAATGAGCCTTAAAAAAATATTACATTTCTATGTGTGGGTATAAACTTTTTTAATAAGTGAAAATGTTGCAGAAATTTCTGGGATGTTTTGCATAAGGTAGTTAACCTCTTTGTTTTGAACAATACTAGGAATGCTCGTTCAGCTCCCCCCGCTTCCCAGCAGCTCTCCCCTGCTATACTCACCTGGGTATTTATAAAGATGCCATTTTACTTTATGCTCTAAGGTACATCTGTTTAAGTCTATCTCCTTTGCTTTCTGTTGACATTAATGAATATTGAGTATGCCGAATTAAGGTTTTGATGTGCAGGTAGCAGTAATTATCAAAACATGTTGTAGGGCAGGTTAAGAGAAGGAAAACTTGTTTTCCTTGAATGAGTATTCTGGCTTGTCTTCTGCCCCTTTTATCATCTTTCATTTTCTGGAAGCAGATGTTAGAGAAGAGGAGTAACATCACCCCCCATAGTTAGAGTCAGCGCTTACAGACTTGTTAGAGCAGGGCTGGCTTGTTTGTTTTTCCTTTCTTTCACTGCACAGAAATGAATGAAACCTAATCCCCACACGTATGACTCCTGTGTTGTAACTGGGCGGTTACACAACATGTTAGATGATGTTAAATGGTGATGGTGTGTTAAAATAAACTCCATTGTGGACTTCCACTCAGTCCTTAATTGTTGGTGATAAAAATGTCAGTGCTGTCTATAAGCAGACAGACTGTTTGCTCTGCCTTGACTGTTGGTGATTAAAATGTCCGTGCTTGCTGTAAGCAGACGGGCTGCTCTGCAGCATGCCCTTACAGGCTGCCTCGTGGCTCTTCCCGCAAGCCTGCGTCTGCAAATCTCTCAGCGTTTCGTGAAGATGAGGTGGAAGACCACTGCACTACATGTACAAAATTACCTACTCAGAAAACAAAGTGTCTGCTTGGGATACAGTCCTCATCTCATGTCAATTTGGTGCTACCTCATTTGGGGCGTTTACTGCTTTGTTGTATTTGTACAGTAAGTGACGTAACTTTGGCATAAGCTTGGATAATTATTTAAAACTTTGATGTACATGCTGTACTTGGTTTTCCAGCAGCTTAAAAGCCTGTTGACAAATGTTTTCTTCTTTAGGGATGGATGAATGAAATTTATAATTATGATCCAGAAACATACCATGCTACATTGACTCACTCTGTCTATGTGCGACTTGAAGGAAGCACCTTAAGACTTTCAAAACCCAACAAAAATATTTCTAGAAGAGCTGTGTACAATGAACCAAAGCCTGAAGTCACGTACATCAGCCAGAAAATTTATGAACTTACAGAGAGCAAGGTGAGTGTGCCATACTTATATCTGATTTTAACAAAGAATACTTTGAAATTTTTGTTGAAATTTTGAAATTTTTTTCACTACTCTAGTTTCATGTTCTGTCACTATGTAAACAAAACTGTTATCATGACTAACTTGCAAAAGATTGTGCTGGGGAGGAAGATTGAGCAAGATTTGGAAAAAATATATATTTACATAGTAAAGGAAAAGCATGATTTTTCTCTGTCAGTTCAAAGCAGAAGTTAACATGTGGGAGTTGAGAGAATTGTTCCCCATATATTAGATTACTGCATGACTGTTCTGAAGCTTACACCAAAACACATAATTGTTGGTGGTTGTCTCTATCCCAAGGCAGTTCAGTCAACATTTGCATTTCACTTGAAGGGGGAACGTACATTGTGTATGGATGTGAAAGAGGAGAGCAAGAGGTGGCTGGAACAGACAGGACTTGCTCTTGGTACCCGCTGTCTAGGGAATGAGATAGGAATTTTTGCAGTTGGAAGAGTGCATCAAGAGTAATGCTGGGACAGTTTTCCTACATGTTATTTGCCTCCCTCAAATCTGTGAAGAGTTGCCATGTGAAGTTGACTCCATTGGCGTTGTATTAAGCAATACGTCAATACTCCATTATTAAAAAAATGGATTTTTTTTTTAATGTGCTGCATCAATAGAGGGCCTTGGCAGTACAGCTGTAGGAGGAAACTATACTTCAATTGACTGTGGGAGTTAGAAGAAGAGAGGAACCAGGGCAACAGTGAGGAAAACCTCCCTTCGTTTCCCTGAGTCAGTATGGGAAAGGAGCTTTCTGTCAGCTCTGCTTTTCATTCAAGGAAGACTGTGAAAAGATAAAGCAAACACTTAGATCCCTGCCTATTGGACATTTGTTTTCCCATAATGAAGACAAACAAGCAAAGTTATCACATGCTGCAAGAGCACTTGACTGACAATTGTTCTCTATGATATCTTAGAAAAATTTCCAGTACTTCCCCCTCCTCCCACCCCCACTTGGTTGCAAAAATGCTGGGTGCCCTGAATATAATAAGCAAATTATGGCTATTCTCCAGGGTGTTTACCCACAGATTTTTGGAGAATGTGGGTAAGTTCAGCCCCTAGATTAGAATTTTTAACTCTTATTACTCTTATCACTTGTATTGTCTCAATTCTCTCTGAACATACTGAATTTAGAATATAATTTATAAATAAAGGAATGAAATCACTTTTATTCTTTGATTCTTACATACTTGATGTGACTTCAAACATTCAATTTCATGAGGTGGGCCTGAAAAGTTGAGTTTTAAAATTCAGTTTAGATTCTCATTACCTACCCCATGGTCACAGAAATAAGGTTCTTGTGGTTTGTTTTTTGGTGGGTTTTTTTGGGGGAGGAAGGGCTGGTGTTTGGTGTGGGGTTTTGTTTTTGTTTTTTTTCCCTGCATAACTATGAAAATAAGATCTTTTAAATGAAAACTGAGTTTTCTCCACATGATTGTAGAAGTCTAAGCTACTTGCATGGTCCTTGTGTTAATTCCAAGGCTATGGCTCACCAAAGACCTAGTGACAGCAGTTCATTGGACATCAACCAGCTGTAAGTTGAATCAGTTAAACCCAGCAGATGCAGTGTAGGATCTGTATCTCTCATGTTCCTATGTTCTTTATGTGACTACAGAAACATAGAAGATAGAACTGAAAAATAAGTTAATTTTTAACCCTTTCATTTATCCTTCAGATTTCCCTGGTTCCTAAGAGCCTGGCACGAAAACGGATTTGGAATAAGAAGTACCCTATTTGCATTGAACTTGCTAGACAGGATGACTTTATGGCTAAGGCCCAGAATGATAAAGAGAATACAGAGGAAAAGTTATCTGCTGAAAAAGTGGACTTGAACAATGAAGAATCCAAGAAATCTCAGGATGGAGCAAAGTACACTAGCCAAAAAGATCAAGTGCTTTATCTCTTTGGAAGGACAGGCAGGGAGAAGGAGGAATGGTTCAGAAGGTTCCTTCTCGCATCCAAGCTGAAGTCTGAAGCAAAGAAGCCATCCAGTTTATGTGGGAGCAAGCCAGGTATTCACATTTCATATTCTAGTAAAAGCATTTATTAAAAGAAAGAAACCAAAGTTTTATGTTTTCCAGTGGTAGTCACAACAACTGTGGAGCCATAGTGATCTTTACAGACAAATAATACTAAAGACATTCTTCTGCTCCTTACCTTGGCCTCTCATTCCCACCTTTGCACCCTGCCTTTTCCTCACTTTGCTGTATGCCCTCAACTATTCCTACTATTTCTAGACTGTTTTATGTGAATACACTATTTTTCAGTGACTGTAACAACTCCTGTCATTTTTGTTAGGATGAATTGTTCAGTCGGGGTTTTTTTCCCTCTCTGTACTGTTAGATCTGATGTCGATATTTGCAGTATTAGACTCAGTTCTCTTATTACCTGTTCTTCCTCCTCCATCCTTCCTTACACTCCAGTTTCCTGTAAAGACTAAAGAGCTTTCTCATGGGTTAATGTCACAAGCACACACACTTTTGTGTTAAATAAAAAGTCCTGTACTAGTACATATGTCTGAACCAATAAATATGTTAGCCTACAGCATTGATCAAATGTTTGAAATACTAATTTAAAACCATCCTCTGATACAATTTTAAATGTGAATGACTCATGCTTTTCTGTCTTTATTCTCTGAGAAGCTTTTTAAAAATTGGTTAACATCATTATTTCTGGCACATAACTTCTTGAAATGCAAATGCAAAATTAATGGCTAATTAAAATTCTAATAGTTACATGCTTTTGACAGTCCTTTTAATTGTAACAGCCTATAATTAAATTTAAAAAAAAAAAAGTTTAGTTATAGGCACATTTTAATCACCTGACTTTTAGGCATTCCCCAGCAGGGCTGTTGGGAATTCTGACATATGTTATACATATATGAGTGTCCATATTCAAATATGCTATTGATCAGCTGAGTTTTCTAGTCCCACATCCTGCTGAGTGCTGAATCATACCAAACATTGACTAATTTGGGTTTAGGACCGCCTAAGTACACAGTAGTGGAATTTACTTTTACCTTTCAAAATGAGAAAACACTACTGTGGTGGTTTTTTTCGGAATAAATTGTATCTGCAAGCTAATTTTGTTCCTTTAAGTGTTTGATCATACGCTCTACTATTTGACTGTCAGGTTCCTTTTCTGTTAAACAGGTATTATTCTTTTTAATTTAGGGATATTGCCAACACACAGTAGAACCGATAGTCAATCTGGAGTTCTTACGCACAGCCGAAGCAGCAGCAAGGGAAGTGCAGAAGAAATTGCATCCCAGCCAAAGCACAAGGATCTGGCTGGCAACGTGCGACAGAAAATGCTTCTGGACTACAGTATTTACATGGCAAAGTGTGTTCCACATGAAAAGAAAAGCCCTTCAGGTAGTCCAGTCCTCAGTGCAGATAGCAGCCCTACAGCTGTGAAAAAGGTAATGCTTTTCCCCCAAAAGATGCATCAGAGATGGCGATACGTTTATGTTGTTAACTGCTACTTTAAAAATTAGTTTTGTAGAAAGAAAAATTATTTTCCAACTTCAGGTTGGACCTAAACTTTTTGTAAAGTCAGTGGGGGCTTTGATACTTGCCAGTTCTGTGTTGACCACAATTTCTTCTTAATGTAACACACAAGTTTTTCATTGATTTAGTTTGATTTCTTATCTCCCAAGAACATCTGTGTTTTTTCTGGCTTTTGCAGTGTCTTGTACCTAAAAGATTGTACAGCTGAAGGCAATATGGCTGTAGATTTTCTTCATTAGGAATGCACAGGTCTGTCCTACAAACCATTGGTCCCAAAAGAAATTATCTTAAGCATAAGATGAAAACAAACAGAACTCCACAAACTTCACTTCCCAATAGTAGTAAAAAGTTACATTTTTCTATGTATATTCTAATGTAGATTGAACTAAAAGCATATTTTGAAGGTCCTGGCTTGTTGAAACAATTCAAGTGGAATTTTTAGTACTTAGTAGTAAAATAGATCTTCAATTTCTGCTGATTGGGGAGGAGTTAAAGGCTGCCTACCATTCCTGAGTGCATCCAAACACCTGATTGGGACAGAATTTTCATATAACAGAAATCTAAGTTGGATGCCCTTCGTAGGAGTTTTTCAGTGCAGATAATTACACTGTAAAATCTGTTTTCAGCCTCATGTTTGGGTTTGCTCATGCACTCTGGGTCACATGAAGCAGTGCTTTTTGTCCTGGACCTGAGAACTGTTTTTCTGTTGCATGTTTCAAACAGCGCTTAACCTGTTCAGTTCTTCTCAAGAATGCCGTCCTGGCCCTGTTGCCATGAATAGGGTTAGGAGTTTGCTGTTAGTATGCATCTGATGGTCTCTGGCTGTGGCTTTGACAGTGGGACACTTTTTCCTGCAATATACCTGCTGCTTGGGTTGTTGGGGGGACAGAAGTGGAATTGGCTCTTGTATAGACTACAGCTTGATTTGGACGGTCTTGCTCAAAGACATAAGGCATGGATGGATGAATCGTAGGGTTTTCATTTTTTAAATGTCTTTTAGAGCAATACTAAATGGTTGATGTGTTAGTATTGTGTAAAACATAGCAGTGTAATAGTGAGCAATGTCTTTGGCCTCTTGGACTGCATTTGAATCACTCTTAATAAACAGAACCTTAATATTAAAAGTACGACACTCTTAATAAATGGATCCTTAATGTTAAGTACGATCACTGTTCATTTAAAAGATGTAATTCATTGCGTGCATCTTTGTTGCCAGACTTTCATACAATGTCCAGAAAGGAGTAGGAGGCCATGGTGTAGCATATGAATAAACACATCTTGTGTTCCCCCAGGAAAAAGATATTCTAGCCCTTGACAACCCCTGAAGCAGTGATGAATTTGCTGCTGAATCTGGCACGTGTCAGAAATCATTCTATAAATAGATCAACAGTGCTGGCAGGAAACTTGCATCACAGCAGAAGCTACTAACCCAGCAATTCTGCCTGCATGAGGCTGCAGCCATCGGGAGCAGTCATTGCCAAGAAATGATGCTCAGAACTGTAGCGTCTACCTGACTCCTCTTAGAAAGCACAGCTTTTCTTCTAGCTTCAGGATTTCTGCCTTACGTAATAACGAAAGGCAAATTTTCCTTTCATTGCAGGCAGTTGAGAGATGTTAAGTATGTTGTCTTTCCTTCATGGAAACCTCCTGGGTTTAATGAAATACAGGATAGCATGTACGCACCCAGAATTATTTCAACTGCCTTTGCTTTCATGTCTATAGTCAGTGATGCAACACCTGAATATATATCTCCAAGTGTTTTGCGACCTAGACATAATCCTCTTGGACTGTAAACAAAACCTTTAGTGCAGCAGAAGGAACAATATGGTTTCCTGAATCCTATATACAAACGCTGGAAGGAAGAATGTGTTTCCTTGTATTGCATTTGTTTATCATCTATTTGTGATGTTTCTGAGCTGGATTTAAGGATGTAAGATGGAGTCTTGCTTTCCTATTTTTTGATAAAACAAAAGAAGAGTAGAGTAGCTGTTCTTTTAGATCCTATTGGGGAGAGCGAGCGTCTCTACTACAGACACATTTCTAAGTCTGCCCACTCTGGGCTTATCTGCTTTTTCTGCCAGAGGTTAAATTACATACAGCTTTCTCATTTCATTGCCCTAGGTGAATCTCTATCTATGTGGTCTCATTCACTCTGTTACATGTCAGGATGATGACAAGCAAGCTCGTGTCAGGCCAGCTGATGTGCTTGTAAAGCTGGTATATGTGCTGAGCATTTAGTGTTAGCTAACCAGGGCTATAACACTGAACTTCCCAGTGTAAATGAGGCTTTTTCTGACCATAGTTTATAGAATTTATAGAGCTGAATAACCTGCTCTGTGTTTTCAGTTACCAGATGCCCATGTGGAAGCTGAAGAAGAAGAACAGGAGGCCTGGGTGAATGCTTTGCTTGGAAGAATATTTTGGGATTTTTTAGGAGAAAAGTACTGGTCTGATCTAGTGTCAAAGAAGATCCAAATGAAACTTAGCAAAATAAAGGTAACTAATCTGGAGACTTGCACTACACGTTCCTTATTGAGGAAAACAAACACATAACCTTTGAGTTTTAAAACGGTGGAAGAAACACTGATTTCACGTGTGTATGTAAAAGACAAGTAAATAAATGTGGTGTAGAGTTCTGGTTCGACTTTGCTATCGCTTTCACATAGGGTCTCAACATGTTAACTTTGCTGTGTCAGAACTACAGCTGGATTGACTATTTGTGTCTGTGAAGTTTTTATGTAAAAAGTAGAAGTATTGTATTTACTTTAGGGATAAAAAGAACTGCTTATAAGTTATGAAATCTGCTTTGGGAAATAGTAGATTGCCTTTAAGATGGAGGAGATCAGGGAACCACAATGCTGATGTGCTCCTATTAACTTCAGACATACACTGCTGGCAGGAGAGGTCACTGGGGGTAACAGTCAGGGAAGAGCTTTCTGTGGGGTGATGGGATATAATTGTGCATCAAGGATATAATTGTGCATCAGCTGCATAAGTTCAAAGTGGGAGGGGAGGAGTGATGCTTTTGAATGACTTCTGGGTCTTCCCTATGCATTCTGTAACTTCTGGACAGCAGCAGTTAATCACAGAGCTCTTTAGCTCCTGATGTTTGGGGAGGAGTTTGCCAGATCCTAAAGGCAAAGGAAGATGTCTTGCTGACAAAAGCTCTGAAATTTAGCTGCCAGCACCAGCTGTGAGATAGTGTTGCTTGTGCTTTGGGAAATAAGCAGTAACCTAATTCTGCCTTGGCTGTTTCCACAATTGTGACAGCAGGGTACCCAAACATCTCATTGGAAACAGTTTAAGTGGAAAGACTGGGGATGGGGGATGGATGTATTTTTGATAGGTTAAAGCACTGTCTATTCACAGGAGATAGAATTTCTATCAATTAGAAATACTTACAGTAAATAGATACCCAAATCATTGTGATTCAGTGCCTCTATTATACTAAAATTATGATACAGATTTAAAAGCTAATGTGCTATGAAAGAATTTACCAAAGATAAAAATAGCTGACACGTTGATATAACTGCAACTAACTATAAAATATGTGACTGAATTTAAAATGCAAAGAAGTCTTTGTTTTTATTCTCGGTAAAATAGGATTTACACTTCATTCTTGAGCTTTTTACATGCTTTGACTAAAAAGCATGCTGGAGGTTTAAGGTCAACATCTGAACTTCAGCATAGTTTTAAAAAACATTCCAAGTTCACATGCTGAATTTCTCCCTAAAATATTATTTTGAAACTCATAACTGCAAAATCCTAGAATTGAAAGTAATTTGTGTAATTGTATTTGTGTTCTTTCACTGGTGGCTTTTCAGCTCAATCCATTCCTTAAGTTTAATGACCTTTCTTCTCTCAGAAAACAATGGTGTTTAGTTCCATAACATGGACTTGATTTTTACATTCTGTTCTTTTAGCTGCCGTACTTCATGAATGAACTAACTCTAACTGAGCTTGACATGGGGATAGCAGTGCCGAAGATCCTTCAAGCCTTCAAACCCTCTGTTGATCACAGAGGTAAAATACACACTTCCTTTTCTGGTTTTGCCAGGTTCATGCCTTTGTACCTGTGGAGAACAGAATTTTGATCTGTTTATCTTGCAAGTTGTTTTAATCAGAGGAAGGTACACTTAATAAGAGCTTATTCTGAGGAGATACTGAGTGGTCTGTATCTCCAATAGTAGTAGCATCAGGCTTGTTATAAACATAATTCTACAGATGTGGAAATATGATCATGTCTTTCCATTGGAAATAGTTACTGAACTAAACTAAAATTTGTGTGCAGCAGAGATACAGACCTGATTCTGATACTCTGTCATGGACTACAGAGCAATGCACATCCCCTCAAGACAGATCTGATTCTGTACCATAGCAGGAAACAGATTTGACTCTCTTCAAGAGAAGTTGCCCTGTTCTGAAAACAGTGATTCAGAAAATACAGTTGTAATGACTCAGAAAACAAGAATACAATCTTGCTTTGAAAAGAAACTTCAAAATACAACAGCACTTTATGTCCTTAATATTAAATATGGATTTTTTTTTTTAAGATGAATCACTTTCATATTGCTGCTTTATGAATCAGAACTGTTTGTTTTCTGTTCTTTCTGGCTTGCATATGGTCACAGGAGTATATTTGAAGATACTCTTGTCACTTAAGTAGTTTCAAAAAAAGACAAACTTGGGTTAATGTGTTTTAGCTTCAAAAATATTTGTTCTACGTGCTGAGGAGAGGTATATGCCATCTTTTGTCTAAGACATGTAGTCAGAGCAGTGTTTAATTTAAAATTATTTCTTTTATTAAGGGTTTCTTGTGTCCTGTCACTCTGTTCAGTCCTTTACCATATTGTTACACTGGGCTGGAGAATTGAAAGAGAATTATTTAACTCAAGGTGGAGAAGTTTCTAATTGGTCTAAAGGGAAATATTTCCTTGGAGGACCTGTTGTGGTGCAGCTGTGACAAACAACATATTTTTGTTTTAAATTGCTCTTTCAACTCTTAAGTGACGATATCAAAATAATTTCTAGATGGTGCTAAGACCAATAAACTGGTGGTCAGATGGTAGGAATTTAATGAATTTGCAATACTTGTTAAGAGCCTCTGGAGAGGGTCTAAATTACAGGCCAGCAATGAGCTAAACTGCAGCAAGTCTCAGCAGCATATTTGGAACAATTACAACAAATATGGACAGAACGAAGTTTGAACAGATAACTAGCTGGAAATCCTAACAGGATCAATCTTCACTAGCTCTCCTGTGCACAGTGTTTCTAAGTGAGCGTGTTTGGTTTTGCGTGGCAAGGTTTTGGTAGCG